CCCCCGAGGAGTCAGCCCGCTCACTGCCAGCAAGGTCCACCAAACTGATCTTGCTGACCTAGGGTCGGGGGAAAGGGCAGGAGGTAACGGGGTGTGGGAGGCGGGAGGGGTGGGCAGATCGGGGGATGCCCAGCAATGGAATGGGGTAGGTAGCCAGGGCTGGAGGAACCCCACCTTCTCCGAGTCCAGCCCGGTGAGCTGGTCATGGCAGCGTTGTGTGAAGACGATGGTGAAGACAGCATGCGAGCGGCTGCTGGTCTCGTTCATGTTGGTGGCGGCCACGGTCCTGGGGGGAAGGAGCGGTCACTGCATCCGGCCTCTCACCTGCCTGGCCTGGTTCCCTCTCCCTGCGCTCCGGCCGCCGGCCTCACCGAGCCTTGTTTCCACAGTCCATGAGGTCAGCAATGTCTGCATAGGAGGTCACGGCCAGCTTCGACAGGTCCTGCACGTAGGGGCCCAGGATGGGGTGCTCCCGGACCCGCAGAGAGCCCCGACTCTTGGGGTTCAGGAGGTCTCGCACCCGCTCACAGTAGATCTCCATGTAGCTCACCTAAGCAGGAGAAGCAAGTAAGAAGCGACGAACATGGTAAACGTACTGATAACGAAACTCGGGTTCAACTCCCCGGATGGGACGTGGGTGATGGCACGTCGCAGACACCGAAGGCTCACGTCGCCCCAGGCGCAGTGCCGAGCACTTCGCACACGCGGGCTCACTGACCCAACAGCCCTAGGAGGGGGGCCGGTCACTAGGCTTTCAGGGGTGAACAAACTCAAGAGCAGGGAGATGAAATCATCTGCCCAAAGCCTCCGTAACGGGGCAGAGCCACGGGCAGGCCCGAGGCTGCCCGAGTCCTGAGATGCCCACAGTCTTGTCCCTGCTGCTCCTCCCCAGCCCGGGGCCCCACCAGGACCCAGGCTCACCTCCACGGAATAGGAGAGCTGAGCACTCTCGTTCTTATTAACGCGAGAGAAGAGATCCTCGCAGAGCTGGAAGGGGACACAGAGAAGCAGCTGTTCCTGGTGCCCCTGCGGGGCCCCGGCCTGTGTGGCTCTGTTTAACCCCCACCCCAGCCCTGAGGGGGCGGGTGTTCCCATTTTACAGATGGGAAAGCAACCTCCCCGGGGTTCATGCTTGCCCAGCATCACCAACTACCACGTGGTGAGCCAGGAAGCCAACACCGGCACCCCGACGTCAGAGCCCGCGGGCAAGGCCACTGTGCTGCACGCTCAGGGAGAATTACGGTCAGCTCCTGGTTATCCACATCTGCTTTCTCTACGGTCCGCACCCTGACTACGGGAGGCGTGTCTGCGGTGAGCCGCATTCACAGACGGCATAAAACCGCAACAAGTGGCAGAACCAGGGTTCAGACCCAGGATTCTCCAGCAGCAAGGCTCTGGCTCTAGCTTTGCTGCTTCCGGTGGGGGCAGACACCCCTCCCCACGGGGCCACGCAGCCCACGTAGCTGCCCGCTCCTCCCCGCCTCACATTCCCTATCAGCACAGCCTCAGAGACCCAGGTTTCTGCTCCATAGTCCGTGGGCCCTTCCTGCCCCAGGGGGTAGCTGAAGCTGCTCTGCCCTGGCTGCCCTGCCAGGTCGCAGGCGTGTACCTGGGGCACGATGCCCTGCTGCCCTGGCTCCTGACGCCCCATCATGGTGTACGACTTCCCAGCCCCGGTCTGCCCGTACGCAAAGATGCACACATTGTAGCCTTCGAAGGCATGGAGCAACATCTCTTCTCCGATGTCCCGATACACCTGCTGCTGAGATGCAAACTGGGGGTCCTCGGCCTAGTGAAGCAGAGACAGAGCGGGAGCCCTACGTGACTCCGTCCTTAGGGTCTGGGTCCCGAGAGTCTTGTCCCCATCGCTGCTGATCACCCAAAGGTCCTACGTGCCCTGAGCAAACCCCACGCGTGGTTCCACTCTCCCGAGACAGGATCCTCTACGGTCTCCTGCCAGGCCTAACCACCCCGAGGGATTCTTCCTCCCCGCGTCCTGGTCTCAGTCACGCCCTAAGGGCCCTGCTCACCCCCACCCTGGGGTCGTGGTGCTCCCATCCCGGTCCCTATTACCCCAAACATAAAACCAGCCCTATGTCCCAGCAATGCCCCCTCCCCAGGGCCTAAACCCCTGTTCCTCACTGCTGAGCTCTCCCTTCACCCCAGCAACCTCACCGAAGTGTGTGACCAGTACGAGTAGTCAAAGGTAAAGCTTTTGGGGGCATCCTTGCTCTGTTTGGGATTGATGATGGCTGACGGGGCAGGAGAAGGAAAGACAGGAAGGCCAAGGTCAGGGACTCCCAGCCTCTGCCCATCCCCCACGTTGTGGGAATCCAGGCATCCCACTCCCCACCTCTGTCCCAGTTCATCTCTTCCCTTTAATACTCCCCACCCCCTCCAGCCACAAGGCTAATTTTGGCTTCTCAGGACCCGCCCCCCCCACCAGGCTGCCTCCCCGATTGGGCAATGGAGGGCTCCAGGCCAACATTCCCCCTCCCAGGGACTGGGAGCGTGGAAAGGCCAGCCTGCCCCCACCCCGCCCCCGCCCTTTCAACCAGCACCTGCTCCGCACCCAGCTCAGTCCTTCTGGTTCAGCCCAGCCGGCCAGGCCAGCGTGATGGGCCCGCCTGCCCCACCCGTGCCCAGCCAAGCCCCTGGGACTCACTCACAGGTGGTGCTGCCCTGCATGCTGACCACACACTTGGCATCCTGGCTGGTCTCACGGGCGTTGAAGGGCCGAACCCTCACGGCCACTTTCACCGAGGCGCCAGCCATGGCTCCCGAGACTCTCACCCTCCTCAGCTGAAGGACAGAGACAGAAAAGGCGGTCAGAGCCCGCTGGGGGGACCCAGACATCGCCTTGCGTCGGCTCCCAGGATCCAGCATCTCCACCCCCTTCCCCAGCTCCCCAGCCCCTCCAGGACCTAGCTCCTGACCCTCTGGCCTTTCTCCCAAATGTCACTCTCCTCAGGGACTCCAGTGGTGTTCCTGCCTCTCTCCCCGGCCATACCCCAGCTCGCAGGGACCTGGGCCATCATCCCAGAGTTACCTGGCGTCCTGGCCCCAGACCAGGGGGGCTGTTTCAGCTCTGGCTGCCACCGGCCCTCGTAGGGGAAGCCCCATCCTACCCTTGGGGCCTGGCCACACCAGCTGGGGCTGTGGGGGAAACGCTGATTGTGGGGGAAGAGTGGTTAGGAGGCACCTGGGGCTCCAGAGGTAGGTCAGGGTTCCACGGCTGGAGGGCAGGGGCAGGGGGCAAGGTTAGGAAAGGGGAGGACGGCGGTCCCTCCCGAGTGGCTGAAGGCAATGTGAATCCAAGGACAGGGACCGTGATATTTTTATTCCTCGTCACTCACAAGTGTACTGGACGCCCAGATAGAAAAGAGAGAGAGAGGCCGGACAGAGGGCAGTTCAGAGAGAGGGACGCAGAGGCAGAGACACTGGCGGCGACAAGGAGAGGGGCAGAGGAGCAACAGAAAGTCACAGACACCGAGAAAGGGAGAGATCCCAGACAGCAGGAGGCAGATCCAGGTCATGCTATGGAGGAAACGAGGGAAGGAGCAAAGGAAGGAGCCACAGAAGATCGCAGACACAGAAATCACAGACAGGGAGGGCAGCTCTGGGGTGACGGCACCAAGTGGGAGCCCAGGAGAGACAGGAGAGAAAACCCCAAACCTAAAACCTGCCCTAAAATTCCCCCACAGTGCCAGCCAAGAAGTAGAAACCTAGACCTCACAGCCTCCACACGGGGAGGAACTGCCAGTGGGCAAAGTTCAAGGGCTGGAGGAACAGCCCAGGCCTGGGATCCACCGGCAGCCTGTGGGCCCCAAACCCCTCGCCCAGCCCCCAGCACTTCCTCCTCAGGATCCTGGACAATGGGCAGGGGAGGGTGGGGTCATCCTGTATCCATCACACCAACCCCCAGGGCTCCTCTGTTGGGGGCTCCCTGCGAAATACCTGTGACTTTACTGGGGGACGGGAAAGCACTGGGGTCTCCCCAAAAGGAACCAGGCAAGTCCCAGCCCCAGCCTGGGGCCAGCGCTAGGGCGTCCACTGCCCTGGGGAAGGTGCCAGGCTGGAGCCCAGGAATGTGGGTGCCCCAGTGCTCACACCCTTGGGAGGAGAGGCTGAGCAGCCCACGCCCACCGGCAGGAGGGTGGAGGCTCGCGAAGGCAGACCGGGATGCTGGGGCCCCTTCTGTGGCCCCACAGGACCAAACCGCCCGTCCTGCTGGGCCTCACCTCCGCAGCCCTCCTGGGCAGGGCACGGGAAGGGGAACAGGGCTGGTGTGTCCCAGGACAGGAAGGGAGGAGCTCAGATCACAGAGGCTGTGTCAGGAAGCACAGCCCCGACCCCCAGACCCTGCCCAGGGCAGGGGCCACGACGGGGAAACGCCGTGGTCACGCCGTCGCGGCTCACGGGGCAGGGAAGAGGGTGGCGCGGCCGAGGGTCGGCCGGGGGCACCTGCCCCCCGCCCGCCTGGTGATCCCGGCACGGACCCCGGTCCCGGCCTGTGCCGGCGGCCATGCGGACCCGGTGCTCCCTCCCGGCCGGCCGCCCGACGGCCGCCCCGGGCCTGGCACCTCTCTGCGCCTCCGCGGGACAAACAGCACATGACCCCGGCTCCCGCGGCCGGCCGGGACCCCGGCTCCCCGCCCCCGAGCCGGCACATTCCTCGGCGG